ATCAAGGAAACATAAGTTATTGAAATAGAAATCTTTAAACCGTCTCTACAAAGGGGGCATGAAAAGCTTTCTGTGACAACCGCAGCTGAGATGTGTCATTCACCAGCAACACCTGTCTCCAGGTTTAGAAGCGCAGCTTGCTGATATGTTTGAATTTAGCATCAATGCCGTCGCTAAACTAGCTAAACTTCAAAACAAACTTAAATTCTTCCTCTAACGTGGAAACTTTTTCAACCACAGGATTTTTTAATGTGTATTAAGATGACAAGTTACTGCAAAAATTCAGAAGGGATGAATTTTTGCAGTGTCCATCACACACGTAAAGTATTAATGTTGTGAATAATATGTAGCTATTTTTAGTAGGAGTTTCATTTTCTTAGTAACTTTCAGCAGGATAACTGCCGATAAAAAGAGACTTTAGTGCTAAAATTGGTGCTAAAATGTGTTTTCATTTGATTTATTTAATTTTATGTTGAAATTGTGTGAGTTTCACAACTGAAAGATTTGAAAATACATTTCTTTAATTACTCAACTTAATCTTTAAATTTGATTTAACCAAATCAAATTTAAAAGTAAATGTAATCTATTCTTTCAAGGTAGAATGTAGTTTAAACACAAATAAATGAATCCGTTATTAACAAATACTGCTTCAAAGGTCAAAGCATGCTAGCTTCAGCGTTAGCTTAGCAGGTTTTAGATAAGCGTTAGTGCTGCTGCTAAGCTTGTCAAAACAGAGTTATACATTTCTAGATTTCTTATGTAAAGGTGGCATGTTAACCTTTTCCATTACATTCCCAGCTGAGGTGTGATGTTCACTAGTAACTACTGCCTCAAAGGAAGAACATTGTTGAAAAATATGAGCTGGATAGAAACATTAAAAAATTATATTAACAAGGTGGCATGTAAACAATTTTTCTGACAACTAACACTGAGATTAACTGTTCATTGGGAACATTTCACCATGCTTGCTAGCAAGGTTTAGCATGAGTCACGCAGGTTTTAGCTTAATATTAGTGCTGTCGTGAAACTAGTCAAAGCAGGATTTTCATTTTTAAATATATTATAAAACATTGGCATTTTCTTTACATTCTGAGTCAATTTGTAATGTTTTTTTAGAACCTCCTGCCCCATACGGAAGTTCATCTTGCTAGCAGGTTTGACTAAAGTAGGACTAAAGCTTAGTTTAAGCTCAAAACAAACTTTAAAATGAATCCTTACAAAGTGGGACTTATAAATTATTTTCCCCAACAATCACAGCTAAGATAGACCATTAATTAGCAACAATCCATGTTTAATAAGGACTGCTTGCTAACATATTTCACTTTAGCTTTAGCACCTTACACAGAACTAACTAAAGATAGATATATGCTAAAAATTTCAGATACAAACTTTTACTAATTTGATATTTTCCTTCCTTATTCAATCCAAAATAAATATAGCTGGCTTATTGGGCGCCACATGATAAATCAGATTAGTTTACACTTAATTAAGCTATCGTCTGCTGTTAGATGCTCATCTAAATTATGTAGGATTAGCTTCCAAATGTAAACATTCATTTTCAAATTTGTCGGTAATGAACACCATATTCAACAAATTATTCACAATGTAACATATTTTTCCTCCTAATATTTACTACCTCAAAAAATTCCTTTTTTGTAGTGTAGCATGACAAAAGCATTATCTGGTTTAGGTCTAATCTTTATACCCAAGTGCTTTACAGCCAATGTAATTACATCTCTGTACGTCCTGCAGTTTGAACAGCTCTGTCTGCCTCCCTCTGTTCCGCTCCTTTTTCTCACTTCCTCTGCAGCTTATTTCCAGAGTGTTCCTGAAGTGCAAATTTGAAAAAGACTGATAATAATCAGAGGTCACCTAATGTTCGGCACACCAATACACCAATTTAGAGTTGATATCTTCTACTTCTATAGACTCATGTGTGAGAAGGAGCTAGAATTGTGTTTGCTCAGCTCTCCTCGCCCACCCATGAAGTGTGAAGCAACTGTCATTCAGACAAACAGTTGTGTGTTTTAATTGGCAAAGACACTTTGCTTTGAGAATGATCAAATTTGTAGCATCCTTCTGGCACTGCAGCTTGAAAAGAACTCCCTGCATACTCCCCATTCACCTCTGCTATTGCTAAATTGTATGTATTCATGGTAGAAAAAGGAGTTGGCCACCAAATGGAGGATTTAATTTCTTTTCCTCCACACATTCATCCATTTTTTATACCCATACCAAATTGACCTTCACACTTTCTATTTTCCCACCACCCATTTTACTGTACGCCACGCACCCCCTCTCTGTCCCTTCATTTGCACTTCCTTCATTCCTCTCCTTCAACCCGTGTCATTCAATTTCCCCTGTCCATTCGTCCTTCAATTCCTCCTGCTGTTCACGCCGTCCTCCATCCTCATGCTCTCCGGGGGTCTGTGGCAGCGATAATGAAGCGCGTAGTTAACAGATATTAGCTCATTGGTGGTGGATTCATTAGACAGAACCCAGGCTTATGGTGATTATTTACCCATATAGGAGGAGCAGGAGGAGGGGGCACCGAATCAGAACCCCGCTCTGACTCCTTTGAAGTCAAACTCGTCCCCTCAAACAACCTCTCACACTTTTCCTTTGCCCTCTGTTTCTCGTTTTGCATCAGCACTCCTCCTCCTTGCATGCTATTCCTTCCTCCTGTTCTTCCTTTTTTGTCTCTTTTGCTGTCATTATACACCCACAATTCATATCTACTTTCCTTCATTTTCAATCTCTCTGTACAGCCCCCACACCCCCAGAGGTAATTATGAAAAAATCTCTAATAGTGCTCAGAGGACCTGATAGCACCTTTAGCTTAATTAAAGACATTTACGGGATGTAAAGACATGTTGCCCAGGGGGCGGCTCTGTACCGTACCAGCCCAAACTTTTTATGTCTTTGCTTTTTCATCTCTCAGCCTCTCACTCTCTGTTGCACTTATCGTCTCTATTTCACACATGCGTTGTGATACACTCATGACATGCCTCTTGGCTTTTGTCAAACTCACTGATAGCGTCTAAACTTTTGTAGGACTTTTGAGGCTTCACAGTGTTGTAAACATTGTAAACTGAGATCATGCAGATGTCAGAATCAGTTACATTAGCACTCATTGTTTATACGAATATCTTTGCTATATAAAGCTTGTGATGTCTGCCAGAGATGCTTTATTGGAGGCAAAGAATTTGCACATGAAGGAGTTGAACTAGAAAAAAACCCTGTTATTTCAAACATTTTTGCACACATGTATTCGGTTTATGTGTGCGGTTATCATGCATGTGTAACGAGCATGAACGTCATGCCAGTGTGGAGCTTTTGATGAGGATTTCAAACTACTTCATATTTTCGAGGTGAAAGGATTTTACGTCATGCAACTTTACCAATTTTTAAAAACAAGAATTGTGAGCACAAGTTGGGATTTATTGCAAATATTCTCAAAACTACACATGGTCAAAATCATACATTCATTACATTTGACATTGAAGTTATCAAATGTGGAAATGCAAATTTAATTTAAAACTGGGTTAGTAACAATACAGACTTTTATCTCTGTAATCATTAAAACCAGTAACTACTTCATCTCTATAAAGGCCAATAAACCAGTCAGAATTATTGTATGACATTGTTAAGAGGTAACAAAAGCTTCTGGCTTCTTCACAACCTGCTAAAAGTTATTAATATAAATATCACAGGGGCGATATGAATGTGTTTAATCCTGTTCGTACAAATCTGGGTATGTTTGAATTAGTTTCAAAGTCATAACCATTCCCCCTTGAGAAAGGAGCTCCATAAAAAGCTGAAAATGAGCACAATTTTCATGCTGATGAGTGAAAACCTTTTAAACGAATCTACTGTATATGCAAAGTTTTTGTTTTCGCTTCGATCCAAGTCTCTTAACTCCAGTTCCAAATGTGATTTTAGATAAAAGACTCTTCAGAAAGCATTTTTAATGGATATGTCGACTCCAACACAAATCTCAGTTACTTATTATTGTACATTCCCGACAGTCATCATTACACTCCCATCTGTATGCCATCTTTCACCGCACTGCCATCTGCACATCACTATTTTAATTGCACTACCATCTGCAGATGCAGTGGTCTAATTTTTCAGATTTTTTTTAAACTTTTGGATAAAATACTGTAAACTTGTATCTTTTGCATCTTTGCAGCCGGTGCACCAGTTGAGATGTCCAAGAACAGGCAAAAGAACCGCAAATTTGAAACTCCCCGAATAATAAGGAGTCATCTATGAAGACAAATCTTTAATAATCAGATCAGAGAAATTTAGAGTTGGGGGATAAAGGTAAGAAATGAAACACCAAGATAACTGTAGCAATTACTGAAAACGATCACAGTACGATCTGGTGCTGTTTTGCTTTTGGAAATGATTGACCTTAGACGTTTTTCACCATTAGCTGACAAACGATTAACGGAATATTAAGCTTTTTTAAGAGTCTTCTGGGGGTCCTGACCTGCAGCCATTTGAAAATATTTGGACTATAAATCACCAAATTTGAGTAAACTCTATCACTAAGGCCTGAAAATATCAAGGTCATGGCGCAGCTCACTAAAAAAAACACATCTTCGAATGCAATTATCTCTAAATCTACCACCAAATTCTTCTTTTTCATTTTTACTATCTTTCAAATATGGCTAAATACCATGCAGCCCATCTGTCAGTTTATAATGTTTGTATTTTTACATAACAGCAACTTTGCTTTATCAGTCTCCAACACAAAGACAAACGACAGGAGGAGGGACGCTCGTTTCCTGCTGATTATGCCAGTGTTAGATGCCCCACATCCTGTGGCGCCATAAGATTCTCTGTAAACTTGCTGCCATGTCAGTCAGGGATCCCAGTCTTATAGCAGGACCTTAAAGATACTCTGTGTTCTGAGGGGAAACGAAGAAAGGTTGCAGTTTTGGAGAAAAGTGGCTGCAGCGAGACTTTTTCTTTCTTCTTTCTTCCGATGTGTGATGGAGTCTGGGTTTTTCTGCTTTATTCTCGCTCCTTGCCTTGCAGTTTATTCTTCTTACAGAGTCGGCTCACACAAAGGTAAGTTTCTGAAGATTTCTCAAACTTTTTTTTTCGTATTTTAAACTTGAAACAAGTTTTACCAGAACTGGTTAAATCTGATGGGCGTGTCGTGAATGGAGAGGTCACGTCTTTGTGCCAGCGGATCGATGTTGTAACATTTTGATGAGTTACATGAGCTCGGCTCAAAAGGGGCTCAAGGATGGCTTTTTGAATTTGTATTTCGTTGGGTCCAGGTGATTGTTTTAAATCCCAGATCGTCATGTGAGAATGTTCTTGTGCTTACAGTGAAAAAGGTGTCAAAGAAATAGAGCAAAATTAATGAAAAAATCATTTGAATGTTAACAAATTGGAAGGTTCTTGGTGTAAAATTATTCATGCAGTCAGTGTTTTATTGCCAAGCAATACATGACAGCAAAAAGGGAGAGCGACCTTTTAAATTAATTTTGAAGTTTAATGGTAAAAATCTTGTTTTATCTTCAGCAAGGTTCTAGTTTGCACCATTTTTTTTATCCTGAACATGGATTTTGTAGGATAATTTTCCACAAACTTCAAAGTATCTCAAAAGGATTTTAGATTAACACAATGTTAATGTTCTCAATTTTTTTTATTTTTTGACAACATTACATCTGTAAAGTGTGGTGTACATTTGGAATCAGCTTCCCTGAGTTAATACTTTCCTCATCCACCAACAGCTGCAGCTACAGCTGGAAGACTGAAGGGAGTTTGTCGCTTGTTGGATGAATTTCTTTCCCGTTCTTCATTAATTAATTAATTAAATAATTAATTAGCTGAAGGTTCCTCAGATTGCATGGAGAATGTTTGCAAAACTATTTTAATAAGGTTTTTGTCTGGATTGTTGCACCATTCTAGTACACTGAGTATCACCTACCAGCGGTGGTCAATCAGTTCCATCATTAGGATGTCATGTATCTCTGCAAAGATCTTTTCATAAACCATTCATTTGATTCAGGAGTCCTAAATCAGAGTATTGTCTAAAACATGTTGCAGACTAATTATTGAGCAGGACTGACTTTTGACTTCGTTCTCTCGTCCTGCTGGAAGAGGAACCTCCACTCCAGCTTCAAGTCTTTCTCACGGTTTTCTTCAAATATTGTTCTATTTTCGTTTATCTTCACAATAACAAGTTTTGATGTCCCTGCTGAAAAAAGCATGTCCACACAATGATGCTGCCTCCACCATTGTGGGTAATGCAGTGTTACTTTCCTTTCACAGAGCATTTTGCATAAAAAACCTAAAATTATGATATCAACAGATTATTCCAAATGGGTTACATTAGATTTTATTTAGGAATATAAAAGTAAAGGGGGTGAAATATAAATGCAAGCCACATTTTCTACATTTTTAATAAAAATGTCAGAAACAAAGAGCCCTTACTTCTTGACAATGTGCTACATTATAATGATCTTTCAACAAAGATTATTGTTTGGTTTGGGGTTTCCCTGTGTGAAACTTTTCCCTCTCCTCCGCAGGGTGGGATGAAGTTGTGGTGGTTGAACAAAACACATCCGCCACCTTGGTCTGTACTGGTGCCAGACTCCGAGGCGACATATCCATTAACTGGAAGGTGAAGTTGGTGGACACGGATGAATGGAAACTGATTCTCTCAGCCAGCGAGAAGGAAAAGTTTTCTGGCGGTGCGTCGAAGCCATCCGTGCGATTGACTGACGACAACTTTCAAAACACGGGGGATTTCTCGCTGGTTGTTTCGCCCGAAGTGGCGGATGCAGGACTCTACTCGTGCCTCATCCAGAAACAGAAGAGGAAAGTGAAGGAGAAGATTTTCCTTTTGACAGTCCTCGCAGGTAGAAAAACGACTCAGCTGTGAGCAACAGAAACCGCATATGTTTTTTCTAAATTACAGGTCTTCTCATTTAAAAAACAGATACTGGTTTTAGTCTGTGAGGAAAAGTGAAATCTGCTTTGAATGAACATACACACTTAAAATCACATATTAGGGAAGCAAAGACGAGCCTCCAACTTGGAAAGCGTTTCTAGTTTTGTCCAAATATTAAAAAGGAATGAGAATTTCAGAGAATGAGTTCTGGTTTTGTTTGTACTTTTCTCTTTTAAGAAAACTGATTATTATTATAATATATATGTACAACTGATTGTTTACTTTTTTAAATTAGTAAGAAAGTACAAATGGCCTTTGCTTCAAGTCCTACAATTTTCTCTGTAACTACATTGTTGCAAAAGTATTGATTGCTTTTGAACATTTTCAGGTTTTGTCCCATTGCAGCCTCACAATTTGCAGGTGTTATATGTGAACAGCCAACACACGTAGTTGTGAAGAGGAAGCAAAAATGATAGATGGTTTCCAAAATGTGTTCCAAATAAAAATCAGAAGAGTACAGCGCGCTTTGTGTTCAGCCTCTGAGTGAATATTTTCAAGAACCACATTTTGGTGCGATTACATCTTCAGGTTTTTGTAAATCTACAGAACTGCATCCTATTTTCAGATGCAGTTTAATCCCTGTCAGATGAGATGGAGAGCACACATGAACACTGAGAAAAGATTCTCAAATGAATTTTGGTTTGACCGTTCAAAAACACAAACTAGCTTCAGTCTTAATGGGGGGTTTTCCACAGGTTTAGGCTTTTGTCTTACTGGAATGCATTTCCAGCAGGACAAAATTGATTGACTTGATTGACTTTCATTTCACTTCATCCATCTTCTTATTAACTCCTTCCAGCTTTTTAGAAAAAAATCTGCTTTTTAGAGAAGTTTCACTCCACCATAGCTTTTACATGTACACAAATAGTATTATTATAAAAAATGTCCTTTACCTCACTGCAAGTTATTCCATTGAATGAATTATATTGTAGCCAAAACGTAGGAGACAGATACACACTAACTATTTACTATAAATGCAAACAGTGTCTTTTAACGGAGATTGTTTTACTATTATTTATTATTTTTCTTTTAGTCTTTAAAATACCAAAGTTTGTAATATTTGAATTCTTTCTAAAGTGTCTGCTCACACGATATATTTTACATATAGTTCTAATACTAAACATTTCAGATGATCATTTGTACATTTTTTCAGCATATAGTTTCCTTCTGACTCGTGATCAATGCATAATATGCATTAATGAGTTATTAACAATTTATAAGGTGGCTAGTAAATAGTTTATAGATATGTTATCCATTCATCTGTAGCTATCTATAATGGGAGACTTTTTGTAAATGGTACCAAATAAATAAATATAATGGTTAAATGTTTGCATGCTTTATTCAAATGTTAGCTTCCTGTATCCTTCCTTCCCTCCAGTTGGCTTCTTTCCCCCGCTGCCCGTTCGTCAGTACAGCACCCTGCGGCTGTTTGCCAGAGCCATTCCTGACATTTCTGTCTCCGAAATCACCTGGACGGCACCTGGCGGCTTTCCCATGAAGACAGAGAAGTGGCCAATCTCAGGCACAGGGACTAAAGTGCCGCAGGTCCAGAACGCCGACGGCGGGACTTACACCTGTACGGTTTATCTCCAGGGTGACTCCAGTGGCGCGCTGGCTGTGCATGTGGACGTGAGAGTTGATGGTGAGCAGAAGCACTGAGGAAAATCATGCGATTGTTGTGTCTTTCATTGAAGTTAAACATCAAACCCAGAATCTGCAGGAGCAGAAGCATTATTCATTTAGTAATCCTGAACTTAAAGTTTTCAAAGTATTTACTTCAATGAAAGGGTTTCAGGATTCAAAAGCATCCTGCAGATCTACACTGGATTTCAGCTTGTTCTACTGTGAATATTAGAACTGCTACGTTTATATATTATTCATCATTTGTTCCTCTCCTTTCCTTTATTGCTCTTCTCTCCTCAGCCAACAATGTGGCCTCATTCACCAATATTTCACACCGTAAGTAACTCCAACAGAAGCAGGCTGAAAGTCCTGAGTCAGCTGCCTGCTAATCAGGTGGAGCTGAAGGTCAGAGGTGACTCTCAGCCTATAAAAACTTAATCCTAATTGCTGGAGAATTTTTCTTTCCCCATCATTTCATTACTCTTTGGCTATTCTGTTTATTCCCAGTCTTAACCTCTCTCCCTCTTATCATCTTTTTGCTCAGAATTGCTAATCAGCCGTGCGCTGTAATGTTCTTGCCTCTGCCTCCATTCCTTCACCTGCAGGAAATGAGATCTCCACTGCCACTCTGGCTCAAAAATCCTTCCTCCTGGCCTGTCCCAGCAGCCAGGGTGACTATGTCCGGCTTCACTGGCTTTTCCCAGACACCAAAAATTACAAGGAGATTAAGCTGGTCTACCACTACGACCGCTGGAGGGGTTTCACCTCCAAGCACAGCAACAAGCTCCAGCTGGCCGGTCCTCCGTACGACCCACAGGCCGGGAGCTTCTCCTTCCTACTCACGCCTGATTTGAGTGATGGAGGCCTCTACATTTGCGAAGTGACTCTCAATGACGTCGTTTTCAGCCAGAGGACAAGACTCAGTGTTCTGAAAGGTAAGGAAACTGGTGCACAGGGGGCGTGGCCAGAGAGGTTGCTGAAATTTGATTGGACGCCTTGCCTGGCCCCGCCCACCAGAACTATCAATCAGTTTGTTCGTACATAAGATTCGCGTTTTGTCCACTCTACATCTAAGCAGATGAGAGAAATGCTCCGTTTGTTGTTTTACAGCTGTCATCAGTAATTATTGTTGTTGATTGTTTCAATTTTATTTTATAAAAGTAGAACTCAATTTATATTTACTGGTAAGTACATGACATTTTTGCCAAATGGTTTAAGTCTAATCTTCAGGTTGATGCGTGTGATGTTTAATAAGAAGAAGAAAAAGCACCTCAGATTACTGGATAAAAAAAACTCCTCATAAAGGAGAAAAGGAGGCAACTAAACAATTGTTTTCAATTTGTAGTTTATAATGGCTCAATAATTTTCATTTTAAGTTGATAAATAAGTTGAATCGTCAGCATTATGGCACAAAAAATAGAGTTGTGTGCTGTTAAGCTATGCTATGCTATTATGCTGTGGAGTCACTTTTTATCAGCAGATACATGGAAACCTGTGATTTGTTATCTGCTGGAGAACCTTATTTGTGTTCCTCCAAAGGTTCTGGTTTCATCTGGTTCATAAAAAACAAGCACTAAGATGAATTTTAAGCTTTTTAAAATATTCCTGACATGATCATTTTGGGGTCTGATTGGTTTCTTTAACTTGTTTATAGAAGAAAAAACTGACACTTCAACATCAACAAATTTCTTTCATTGCAAGTAAGAACATATAAAACCGTGTCATTCATTCATTAATTCGCTTCAGTGCACAACATTCAAAGACAATCATCCACAGCTCACCAGTAAAAACAATAAGTAACTCACACAACCTGCTCCTTTTTCAACTATAAGAATAACAACATGCATTGAGCCACCTCTGCTCAAACATTTCTTCACAAATTAAACCCAAAATCAGCTGCAACCTGCCTCATCAACCGAGTAATACTATTCAATTAGTTCATAAAGTCTGATCATTTGTTCTCATGGCATTTGTTCAATTACATCACTTCAAGTCATTACCCACATCATTTTATTCTTCTTTTCTATTACCAGACAAACAGCCATGCTATAATGTAATTTGTGCACTTTAAATCAATTTCTCTCGCATGATTCTTGCCATCAATTTGCATCTTAGATGAAGAAATAAACAATCCCTTTGTGGAAACTAATTTCTAGTCTATTAATATATAGATATAAAATAAAAAATATATATTATTAGGGCTGCTGTAAACTAATATTTTAGTAATCGAGTAATCTATTGATTATTCTTATGTTTAATTGTGTAATCAAATAAAAAAGTTAATAAAATAAAACATTGGTAAATCTAACATAACAGCGGTATCACTGTCACATATCAGCATCAGTCCAATTTTTCACATTTGATAAAAATGTGAGAAATAACTTTTTTGTAGTTTAGAAAATGAACCTGTAACAATAACATCTCACTTTCCAAGTTAATCCGAAGAAAAGTTAAACAAAAATCTGAAATTATATTTAGTGCAACAATAAAGAGGCAGGCTCACAAATATGCTTATAAAAAATGTCAATACTCCAGTTTTTTATTTCTGTATTCACCTTCAGTCAGTTTAACAGATGACCTTTCACCTTGCCCAGACATTTATAGTTTTGTGTTCATGTTGGCGTTGGGATTTGACACCTTTGTTCGTCACACAGAAACATCGACCAGCTAAGTGAGACCGGAATGATATTAAATAAATTTTCTGGTTTGTCCGTAAAGCTACACTCACATTAATCAAATAATGCGCAGCCGCCCGTAGTGTTCAGTCTATCCACTCACCTGTATAAATACACCTGCAGCTCTTCCCCGTCAGCAACTCAGGCAGAAGTGAGAGTGCAGCGCAATGCAAGTAATAACCCTGCAGGAACACGGTGCATTAAACAATAGAACATAAATTAAGGAAGCTTCGAGGCAGATCAATTTTCCTCGAGGAATTTTAATAATCGAGGGATTCGAGTCACTCGAGGAGTTGTTTCAGCCCTGCTGGTGAGTTCATGCAAAATATTTCTCATTTCTTGATCACAATTTATTTTTCCAAATTCCTAAACACTCATGTAGAGAGTAACTGGGGAAAAATGCAAAAATATTTAAATCTCAAAAACACTATATGCTGAATATATACCTGGACCACTTTCTTACAGTTATTTTATTTATATCACTTGTGATGTCCTAAACTAATCTTCTGATGAAAACACAAGACCACAAGACATGATATTTATAATGTGGGTATGACATGAATGCATAAAATAATGTAATATAACAACGCAACAGAATAGAATAGAATCAATAAAATCTGTGTGTTGCACTCCATTTGCAGCCATTGTTATAAAATATTCCTTTGCTCTTTAATTAAATAACTTCAAATTAGTTATTTTTCTAATTCATCAGTGCTTCATTGATACTTCTTTCCTAGGGCAAAAATCATTTTCACCATCTCTGACCAAACAAAAACATTTTGAAAATCTTTCTTATCACAGGAGGAAGAAAGGCTGAAGGTGCTCAAGGTTTTTGAATGAAAGTTTCATGATGAGTAAAATCAAATATTTTCATCCAGGACTTCTCAACAAAACGTCGCCCTGCGAGATTAGCGAAGAATTTAAAGTTTCACAGATCAAACCAAGATCTTTTTTGTTGTTGTTGTTGTACTTTTGTTGCTTTTGTTGGTCTGAGTCAACCAAAAAGTGAGTGATAAATATAAAAGAATGAAAACATTAGTTTTGTGAAACAATGATATCTCTTTGCCTCAGGGGAAGCTAAATTATAAAATAATGGTGTCAGAAGAAGTTGATGACGGTTTACAAACTCAAGCTCATGAAGCATAAAGCAAGAACTTCTGCAGGTTGCCACATCATTAGTCGCAGAAACGCTGAAATCTTCTGTAGTTTCCACATAAATGTAAAACACAATGCTTTACGACGGTTGCGGAAATATTCAAGGAAACAAAGGAAACTGGGACCACAGTGAGTTTTCAACAAGAATCTGCTGTCTCTAAAAGCTCTTTCTCATCTCATTGTTCCTTTAAAAATGTGACTGGCAAGCCATAAATTATGAAGAAAGTCTTTGTCAGCAGTTGGAGGAACAATGGAACAATGGCAGCAGAGATCTCGTGGGATGTAGTTTAAATTTTATTCAGATCAGTCTTTTAAATGGTAAAGCATCTCACCTCCTTAAGTTGGCCTCATTCGACAGAATATGTTTGATAATTACATGGCAAATACAGATTCAGCGATTTATACAGGTTAGTTCTCCTTGATTCTGATGTAAAGCACATCGTTATAGTTGTAACAGCGATATTATGCATGGAGAAAAATTATGCATTCAACCTCATAGGTTTTTGTTTATAGATCTCTCAGTAAATTACCCATTAATCACATGCTTCCCTTCAGCCTCTACAACCTTTTGGCTGGATATTTGACCATTCCTCTTTGCAGAATTGGTTGGTTTTCTGTCATTTAAGCAACGTTTGCAAATCTCATCCGATGCACAAGTGCTGCTGGCAGTGAGATAATTTCAAAGCATGATGCCACCACCACCTAGACAATTGGTGCATTGTGTTTAGTTTTGAAAACCTCACCTTGACCTCTCCAAACTTACTCATTTGAATATAAAACCTTTATACAGAAGTCCTCGGTCTTGATTATTTCATCCCTAAGTAGAACTTCAAGCAGCAAAACAATGCAGCAGTTTGATACTACAAGAAGAATGCTTCATGGTGCTTCAAACCTTTGACACAATCACATATTATTTTAAGCCAAATAATACAGTTAATCTTATTTTCACCCAGAATGTTTCTCTAGAAGACATTTTGCTTGTTTAGGTGCAAATTTCAAATGATTTTGACTTTGCTCATGCTGAAGCAGAAACTTTGCTATTTGTTGGTACCCTCTCAGTATATTGCAATCTAAAACCAGCTTCTTTGTGGGGAATCAAAGCAGCTTAAGATGTTTCTTGACACCAGTTTCTTTACTTTCGAGTGACTGGTTGGGTCACTGGAAATGTCTGGATTCTACAGCAGTGAAAAATGAATATCACTCACCACAACTGGTTCTGGTCTGGAGTAAGTGCTTTAAAAAATTACATACTATGCCTTAATGACAAGAAAAATGCTTGGAGGACTCAAACCAAAGAACAAGGTGTCAACTGACAAGCATGGTGGTGGCAGAATCATGCTGTGTAGCTGTTTGTCTTCCATTAGTACTTGTGTATTGAACAAAGCTGGTGGGCTATACTTGACAGCAATGTCCAGCCTGGATTACGCAAGCAGCTTGGTGATGGTTATAAAAATGGATCATTTACTCAGGGTGAATGATCCATTTAAATCTTTTTAATCCCACTGAAAGTGTTGATTTGCGTCTTTAAAGGTCCCAAATTAATGTGACCTTCATCTCCACCGATCAGATTATGCAAGCACCTGTATTTATCCACTCAGGAACTTGCTGCAAGAACGTGAAAGCAGAAATGTTGAACTATTCAGCAAGGATGAGGAATGTGCAGAGCCGTTAACCACCGAGGTAACATGTCAGTGTTTAGAGAGACAAGCCTCTAGCACCTGTCTCCTGAGGAGCTTCAGCAATCATGTACCCCCGCTGAAGAGTCATTGAGTGAGACATTAAATTTGTACTGGCTTCAGCTCTTTATCCACTGACTCGAAATGAGGAAAACAAATAAAGAGGGAGTTTTCTGGAGCCATTAGCAGAGTGTCGCATTATTAAATGAAAACATTAACTATATTGCTCCTGAAAGAGAAATACGCTTAATTTATAAACGTAAAGACCAAGAAAAATCTTTCTAAGCACCTGTTGATTTTTTATGAGTGCCTGAGGGAATTTTTCCCCTTTTCATTGCAGGGGCACCCACACAAATCCAACATGCACTCCCACTCTTACAACAGCCTGTCATGCTGGCCTTGGAGGGCTTTACTAATCACAGCCTCACCGGCATCCATCACAGCTGCCCAGACATGACCGGTCGATCCGTCACTGTCACCCCGCTTCACAAATCTGCATCCGTTGCACCACGTTCACACCTCCACCCACTCCCCAATCATGTGAGGCATATATTTTTACCCCTCCGTCGTTAGAAGTATTATTATGTGTGATTATACCTGCTGCCCTCCCACCGAGGCTGTGGGAGGCCCACGCTGATCACTCTAATCAAGGCTGAAGTGTGTGTTTTTTAGGCTTGTGTGTGTGAGGTGGGGATCTGCGGGGCTTGATTACGCCCAGATGGATTCTCATTACAGTTTGATGAGACACCAAGCATCAGTCACAGTCAACCAATGCATTAGCAGTAAATCACTTTAATGAATATATATTATTTTGACCCTTCTCTGAATTGTTCTGTGTTTTTCATATCACGGACCCCCTTCGATCATCACTCTCTCTCTCCATCTTTGCCCTTTTAAATATTCAGACAGAAACATTTTAACTCTTTCTCATTTCTCTTCCTTCCTGACAGTTTTTTTCCCTCCATCTCATCCTTCTTTCTGGTTTTCTTTCCTCTCCCATCTCCTCTCATTCTTCTCTCTCTCCTTCAGTGAAAGCCAGCCGTTATCCCTCGAAGCTGAATCTGCTGTGCCTGTACTCAGAGCGCTCCAACGTTCGGGGCGCGGTGTGGAAACATGACAATAAGAGTCGGCGGCTGCAGATGTCGAGCGGCGGCCCTGGCAGCATCAGCACCGCCCTGCCGCTGCCCATCACCCCTGTTGTAGCAGGGAATTACACCTGCACCCTGCAGCTGAAAAACGGCCAGAGCATCCAGGCAGTTCAAGTTGTCACAGCGCCCCCACCAGGTGAGAAGAGAGCGCGTGCTCTTCAAGTTATTTTTTTCAGCTTTCTGATGTAGTATTTTTCTTAGATCAAGGCTATTATATCAGAATCACAGAGTCCTGGTGGACCTCCTGTCAGGTCTGCAGAGATAATGAACCATGAGTGTGGAAAATTCTAGGATATGTGCTTCGTGAAGCGTTCTGCTGTGGATTAAAGACATCCTCAGGTCAGTTCATCCTCCAGAAATCCTGCTGTTTGAAAAGCAGAATGCCTCTGACAGATACCATATGTTAAACTTTTTAAATTTACCTCACAGGATCAAAGAGGATAAAGCTGTTTTTTGGAGCATGATGTTGGTTGGATATGCAGCAGATTAACCATTTAACGCCTCTTACCTTCAGATTTTTAAAAATATTTCATTTATTAGATGTTTTAATAAAACAAAATAAGGTTTTGGAAACTTTGTTAGGGTTTTGTATGTATTATACAGGGATTAATGTGATTAGAAAAAAAGAGGAGGTATTTTTTTCCCCCTGCAAAATGACTTATTAAATAATTATTTTAGAAAATGATGACATTCAGTAAAACTTTTGCCATTTTTGAGACTAAATTATATATTTTTTCTATTCATCCCTCTTGCAGATTTTTTGTTTTTTATTTATTCACACTTAAATGTCATGTCAGAGATCATAAAACATATTTTAATTTTATACTGAAATAAGCTGAGTAAACTGAACTGTTTTTAAACTGTGATTTAATTTATCACGTTATTTAACCAAATCATTGACTGTTGGAGGGAAAAACTCCCACTGAGTGCTTGTTGTAACTGACACAGATTTTTATTTTTACATCACTATGGGGGAATTTTGTTCCATTTATTTTTACCAAATTGTTTTAATTCAGATAAATTTTTCACACAAGCAGCCTCTTTAAGGTCATGCAACGGCTTTTCAACTAGATTAAAGTTTGGACTTTGACTAGGTCACTCTGAGATGCTGATTTTAGTTGAGTTTCTGTTTAGCTTCTCAGTCCCACTGGTTTGCTTTAGATCATTGTCCTGCTGAAGAATCCAGGAACGCTTGAATTTAAACTTAAAACTGATTGTCAGGTTTTCTTCCGCAGGATTTTATACTTTCATTATTTATGGAAATGTTAGTTGATAAACAGTTCATCTCTCTAACACCACCACTACTGACTGCTGCTTTTCTGAAAGACTGAGCTGGATTTTCTATCAGGTGCACGGCTTTCACTTTTGTCACCCTTTCTTTTTTTTTTTTTTTTTTTTGGTATTTTGAAGATTTTATTTGTACTTTCTTTGCAATATGAGAAGAGTTTCTTGATATTCTCTTTGATCAGCTGTGGATTTTGCCTTGAAGCTCTCCCACGAAAATAGTTTTTGCTCAGGCTCTCTGTCTTATTAATCAGTCCTTAACTGAAGTGTATTCTGCTTTAGATACTGTTTTGGGTTCTTTTGTCAAATCCTGGATGAGTTGTTGGTGAGTTCTTGGGACCATTTAAGAAGTTCACCCTCATTGCAGGTTTTTTCTGTTTGTGAATAATGGTCTTCTCTGTGGTTCACAGGGCTTTGTAGCCCTTTCCAGTCTTGCAGATTTCAACAACTTGAAAAATGAACCTCTTTAAAGAGCTAAAAGCTTTTTAGCCTCCTTCATGTTGTCACATGGGTTCCCTTCACAGGAGTTTTTTTCACATTAATTATATTAATACTCCTAGATGAGTCACACCAGAATTTAAACAAAAAAAATCTGATTATCTTTGTCTTTATGATAATATTATTAAAATGTAACAAACAAGAAAAAAGAGGAAAAAACTCTCAATATAGAAACTTTTAAAGAAAAATCCTAAACTTGTCTCAGTCTCATAATTTCTCATATCCAAAATAACATTCTTAGCTTGCATGGTTAAGTCATCCCACATGATTTCCTAATACTTTGTAAAATTCTGTGTGCAGATTCTTTTTCTATAAAACATAAAAGATATGAAGGCTTTTTTTTTTTTCATTATCTTTACCCGGTTAATATGTGACTATAATAAGACAGGACCTTGGGACATATCTCCTCACAAAAACTAAATTATTCAGGCTTATTGTATTGCTTGGCTGTGGGGAAGCACAGGAGGATGTGACAGTTAAATGGATCCCTTTGCACAGACTATTTACCTCTCTATATTCCTCTACATCACTTAGGCTAAAAGACTCAGATCTGATTATGACTCCTACTAATGGTGAAGCTATGACAAGCCATTATAAAATGTACATCTCCTATAGGTGCAATTATTTTGAAGTAGAAGTGAGTTACATTCAAGCTTTGTGTCATGGGAAATTTCGACTGAGCAGACAAGAAAGTTCAAATAAGCTGAGTGCTGTTTGACCTACATAACGCTGTTTAAACTGTCAGGTTGCACAAAAACTGCAAATGTGCAAGGTGGCATAAAAATCCGAGGGTAATAATGAATAATGTAACAATAAGCGGTGACATTTACTGGTATATAAATAGAATTTCTAGAAGGAAAAAAAAATCATGCTGCTGTTTGATGGGAGAAAACTGAAGATACTACGGTGCTTCAAAAAGTCTTCAACTTCTTCATGTTGAACATTGGATGCAGTGTTAAAACATTTTTCATCAATGCATCCAAAAACTATGGTGTCTTTTGTGGTTTTATGTTGCCTAACAAAGTCAAGGACTTTTCTGGGTTGCCCACTATTTTCAAGTAACATTTATTTCTTTGACTTTAGTCAATAAAACACATTGAATAAAACCATGGAAATATTCTTGCAAGGCACTGTATTTATTTGTTTGGGAACATCTAATACACAAAACCTAAAATAAAGTGACAATTCAGAACATTCCAAAAAACAGCACAGAATAATAGAGAATTTCTTTTACCGATGGAAAGCAAAATTGAAGCAATCATTGTGCTCTGCAGCACACAAAATACATCAAATGGGGGGGATTTTCTTCCATATCCTCAATTTACTCATCCTTTGCGAAGCATTCAAGCTTTTCTTTGGTCTGCATCCTCTGTGACACTCCACTCTGCAATTACAGTGATATAAATCACACCCCACCTCATTTGAGATGAAACAGGCGAGGAGGAAAGAGAAATGCCAATCGCAGAGACGGCAGGATAGAAAGAGGAGCCATGGAGGAGACTTGAGAAATGTACCGAGATAGGCCTCACTTCACTGCACTCCATTAACATAATGCATGCATTAAGGCTGGCCTGGGGAGCCGTGCTGGGCAGTCCTGGGGTCAGCTTTCAGTACAGTATTCCATTAGCAACCTCTGCACATATTCTCCAATCAATTACACCTCATGCAGCAGATAATTGATGGATCATTCTGAAGCCGGCTAAAAGGTGTGACACAGAGGTTGAGGTGAGACTCAGGGGTCAGTTTGTTATTCAAACATAAATAATGACAAATTGATGCATGAGTGAACTTTACCTGCAGTGCTTGAAAAATTTTTCACATCCCACAAATATTTTGGACATTTTTGTGTCCAAACAAATGTCACCAGACAAAGTTATTCAAGACTTCTGGAACAATGCACTGAAAAAAGACAACAGGTGACCCAACTTAATTTAATTAATTAAACTATTAAATTTATTAAGTTGCCATGTTAAACAAATATAAATACAGTAAGTTTGGCAAAGTTAATATGATTATGTGTGATAAATAAATTATTTTATTAAGTGGTAGCTCCATTGTTTCTGTTTAAGAGTGGTTGAGGTGTCCAAGTTCATCACGGTATTGTCCTCATAGAAGGAGATCTGCTGAAGGATCCGATTATTCAAACAGTGAATTTCTTCCTATTTGCTGTCATTGGCTTTTACAAATTCTCCAAGATGACAACGTCAGGATTCATTTCACTCAAATTGTGAAAGAAAGGTTTAGGGAGCATGAGATATCTTTTCACACATGGACAAGCTGCCACGGTCTGGACCCAAACCCAATTGATAACATTTGAGGTGCTGGAGAAGGCTTTGCAGAGTGTTCAAACTCTTCTATCATCTGTACAAGATCTTGGCAAGGAACTAACTCAGCTCTGAATGGATATAAATATTTGAACACGTCAGAAGCTTTCCAAAATAATGCTGCAGAGACTGAACACCGCAATCAAAGCTAAAGATATTCCAAAAGAATATGAGTGTGATTTTTAGCTGTTTGTTTCACACATACAAAAAAAAAATCAACACATGGTTTTTGATATTTTTCACATGCATAAATCTAAAATTTGGTGTGGTGTCTGGAGACCCCAATACTCTGATTGCCTTTAAATCAGAGTATTGGTTAAATTGCTAAGTCCATCTGAGACTGTTTTGCAAACAAGAAGAGCCCTGCAGAAAAACCCGCATCTACGACTGAAAAATTAATGTTTCCCTTCCACTTCACAAATATGGTCCACTTTATGTTGTTCTATCACATAAAACCCCAATAAAGCACATTAAAGTTAGTGATTAAAAACAGCTCAAGGCGCGTGAATACTTTTTAAGCCACTGCAAAGGGCGCAGTGAGAAAACGACTTGCTCAAAAGCAATTTAGCATTTATTATAGGTCCTTTCAGAACGGCTGGCGGATATCTAATTGGTTTCTACTCCATGAACGCTGAGCAGACAGCTGCAGAACAATCCAGCTTCCCTGTGGCTCTGTTTTGCAACCCTGATGTCATCCTCAATATGCAAACAGGTTTCTTCGCAAACCTGAACTCTTCCCATAAAATTTGAATTGTACAACAGTGAGATAATAGAGTGCTTATGTAATGTGCAGTGATCACTCTCTACCTCACCTGTTTTTCAAAGCTGCATTGATGGGCCTGGCTGTTTGTTTTGTAGTGTTTGTTTGCCCGGAGGCAACAGCTCGATGCAGAAATCAAGTGAGAGGGAGAAAAAAAAAACCCAGAAGGAAATATTTGGATATTTTTTCATGTTTATGTTTTGGAAATAGGATATGGAGTAATTAGCGGCTGTAAACTCCGCTCTGTGTGGAAGTGGAGTAAGCATCTGTTGACACGTGGTCTCCGAGACGCCTCCGCACTCCGTCCTTTGGTGTGAGGCTTTGTGGTCCAGACTGGATGCGTGTCAGATCGATGTCTGCAAAGGATTTCCACAGGCTACTCTCTCTGCTTAAGAACGCCTCAGATTTCCTCGCCATCTTCCACAGCAATCATTGTCTGTGACTGACAGCAGCATGATGCAAATGCATGAAACATGTTCATGGTGGAGTCGCAACTGTAAACTGTTCACAAAGAGAGAAAAAAAATGGTTGCCCCCTCTTGACCCACACAGCAGAGTGGAAAGCAAACACAGATAGGTTCGAGGGCATTCGGTCTCTCTTCTGAGAGTTTTACATTAGTGTCTCTCTGAGACGTTCATGTTTTTGTCCTTTTCTCGCCCCTCTGTTGCAGAGAGCGTCGCCCCCTCCTTCCTGCACCCTTCCCTCTCTGCTTTATTACTCCTGGTGCCCCTGGTTTCAGCAGCTGTCGGCGTGTTGCTATGGAGACAGAAACACGTTTCTGATCGCGGTGAGTCTTCCGGCGATTTATTTCTTGACAGCGTCTCCGTTGCTCCGTCCATCTCCGGGCCCCCTGTCGGCCCCTGCGTCTGAGTGATGTGGGCCGTGACATCCTCTGGGCTTGTTGTAATGAATGTGGCCCCACTTCATGAGAGTGCGTCCTGTCGCTTCTCTCTGCTCTCAGGTATTGAGCAGTCACTGTCTGTCCAGCCTGGCGATGCGGAGAACATCTATGAGAATCCAGAGGATATCAGACAGGTGATGAATTCAGACATTTTCAAGAACTAAACGCCCTCTGATCAATTTCACCTCTTATATTCTTTCGTCCGTTTACTCCCCCGCTCTTTTTTCCTCCCTTTTGTTTCTCACTCTCTGTATTTCTCTGCCATCTTCTCCCTGAAGTGCAGTTTTTGTCCTCTGCTTTCCTCCTCTTTTCCTATTTCCCCCCTTTTTTTGTGGCTTGCTGTTCATTAAACTTGTTTTCTGCTCTCTCCTCCTTCCCAACAGGCTCCTCCCCAGGGTTCAGTCTACATGGTAAGTTGTTTAGTCGTCCCCAACACACACAAGCACAGTGCAACATCTCAGTAAATTAGAAAAGCATTGACAAGTTCATTTATTTCAGTATTTCAATTCAAATAGATCTGTTATGTGCAAGAAACCCCAAATTCAACATCAGAATGTATACATATATATATCCAAGCATATAAAGGAAAACTGAGTGGAAGGTAAAACTGCAATCAGAAAAAGTATGCACAAGCGACAAGTGTAATCTGGACAGAACACTTTCATTCATTTGGCTGGAATGGTTGTCAGGTGACAGTTCTTTTTTGTTTTGAGAGAGCAGAAAAGAATTAGAGAGAGAGCAAACCAGAGCGTGAACACAGAGATTTGAGAGAGCACAAAGAGTATCGGAAAGGGAGCAGAAGTTTTGAGTGAAGTTATTAAAAGTTTTGAGAACAAAGAGATGAAATCCTCCTTTCAAACTGAAAATGTGGCAGAAAAAATTCTCCCATAGTAAACCAGTCATGTGTTGGACAAGCAACAAAACTAAAAGTTACAGGACACCAGCCACTCAGGCCTGGAAGAGCCCAAGCCCAAGACACCAGATCCAAGAATGTAGATATGCTCATGCTGCTATTAAAGACTTCCTGCACTTCATTCACACCTGAGCAGAACCACAGGTTCTTCACCTCCATGGCATGCTGCATTGGTGCAGTAATTCATGCAAAAGCCTTGGCTTCCTCTATAAAGAATAGTGAATTTAATTGAATTCAAAAAAGAGCCCAGACCAAGTATTGAGTGAATTTTCTCCTAAAGTATATAGACATATTTTACATACAATCCTTGGAAATCAAAAAATTAGATGAAAGCTTGAAATATGTTTCTCTGTCTGTTGTGAAATTGCATAATATACAATATAAATTGTACCATTTGAATTGAAATAGTGGAATTAATTAAGAAATCTCTCTTGCTTTTACATTTTTTTCTAACAGTCTTTCCTTCCACTAAACTTTCCAGTAATATGCTGATGGCACATTTGTGATATAATATTTACATCATGACTGTTTGCTGGAGCTGTTTGTGTAGGACTATGACAAAACCTTTCTGCATCAAAACATATATATATATAAATATATATTTATATATATATATATATATATATATTATATATATAATAATATATAATATATATATATATATATATATATATATATATATATATATATATATATATATATATATATATATATATATATATATATATATATATATATATATATATATATATATATATATATATATATATATATATATGCATATATATATATATAAAACATATATATATATATATATATATATATATATATATATATATATATGTTTTGATGCAGAAAGGTTTTGTCATAGTCCTACACAAACAGCTCCAGCAAACAGTCATGATGTAATATTATCACAAATGTGCCATAAAATTATATATATATATATATATATATATATATATATATATATATATATATATATATATATATATATATATATATATATATATATAATTTTATAAAACATTCCAATTTCTTCAGAAATTAAATTTTTGTGGTTTTAATTAGCTGCAAGCCATGTGGATCAAAATGATCAGAAATAAACACTTGAACTATGTCACTCTTTATGTAACATGAATCACTCTATTGAAATTACTTAAACAAATTGACCTTTTCAAGAGAATTCATTATTCTGAGCAGCACCTGGAAGTGTGAGGAGCACAAAAAAGTCCCTGACACTCCTCCGGTTTCACCCTCTCTAAGCTGTCGGCAGATACGTCTTCCTTCACACTTGGAGTCCTCCAATCTGTCAGGACTGGTTCATATAAACCCATCACCTTTCAGCAGCCTCCTTGCATTAGTAGCTTTAAGAAATCAATCTCATTACACACTGGAGGGACATGAATCTGGCCTCAGAATGTCTTTGTCCCCATGTCACTCCTTTTCTTCTTCTTTGTGCAAGGATCTGAAGCCAAGAGGAGACAATGACGTCTACAAGGAACTGGAGCGGTGAGGGGAAAATTCTTGCATCACCTGTGTGTGGAGTTGTTTGTGGACCACTCGTCACACTCACCAATCAGACCGGCCTGAACATCACTCTGACACTGTGGCATAATATCACGCCATGTGCTGACAGGCAGCGCTCCTTCGCCTGTGTGTTGTTGTTGCGTGGGCTGCTTGTGTTTGTGTTTAAAGGGGGGGAATGAAAGAGATTGGAGGACTGGGTTTTTTTTTTTCCTTTTTTTTGAGCGAGTTTGTCTTTGTTCTCTGTTTTCAGATACGAGCAGTGTCAGGGCTGATCACCTACCCACATCTCATCCCCATCCAGCTGTCACATCCTCTCTCTTCACAGCTGCAGCAAAAGGCCTTTTATAAACAGGAGTAACTACTCAATGTCAGAGTTGGGGACTTAAAGAAAACTTTTGAGCTTCACAGAAATGCTATTTAGGTTTTCCTTTACAAGCTATCGCTCTTTAGATGTTATAGGAACTCACAAACCTCTCCAGAATGGATGGCAGTTAATGTTGCATTGTAAAATCTAAGCCATTGTTTCCAGTGAAAAGGGTACAAATAAAAAGTACACTTTGTTATGTTAATCACAAAGCAATGTGTTATCAATATGTGATGTGGGTCTGTTAGTTTATTTGATTTGCATGAGTGTGAAATGAATCCTTATTGTCTTACTGAGAGAAAGGAAACAGCTGTTACAGCTGTCCTAATTTAATTAGAACATATAATGTTTGATAATTTAATTACTTTGTTGTTCATCTAATTTTTTATGGTGCAAACTTTTAATTTTGCACCTATAATTATTGCTCTCTGTTTTAGCAAAAGTTTTCAAAATTTCAGTAATTATTGCTGCTTAACTAGTTAATGCTCAAATGTATTTAAAAATATTTATGCAAAAATACATTTACTGTGTTTCTGGTGCCAATCAAAAAGATTTTGTTCATTAGAACATAGCTCATACTGCAGATATTTATTTAGATATTTAGCATGAATATTAGCCAAATTAGACACGACTGGTCACAACTCCAGCCACTAGATGACGGCCAAGTGCTTTCAAAACAAATTTTTGATAAGTATTGAAAACGCATCAATAGCCATCTGCGGCTGTGTTGTGGTTTCAGGCCGATTTATGACATAAGTCTATAGACTTAAAGAAAGTAAATAAATACAGTTACCAACTTTTCCGTATGAATAACGTTATTTCATTATTATTTTTTTTTTTTTTTGGTGTATTAAAATATGAATAAAATTAAAACTGGCCACAATTTACTTGCTAAGTTCCCCAGCCATATTTAAATATCTTTAAATTAAAAAAAATGTCAAGAACTTTCAAAAAAGTTTCAATTATTTTTTGGCAGATTACACATGCAAGGTGTTAATTTATGCTTCCAAACTAACACCCTTTAAATACTTTAAAGTAATGTTTATCCATCTGTATAGTGATCGGATATGTGCTGCAATTGAATTTAATATCACTTTGGACTTAAAAGTCAGTTTCAGCCTAATTTTGCTGAAATAACCAACATATTAAAAATGTCAGCAGTGAGAGGATTCCTGAAGAGCTCCAAGTCTTAAAGGTTTTGTCAGCAAAAAGTGATGTGAGGAACAGAGAGCGGGATGGTATCAGAGGCCCCAGGGTCCCAGGATGGGACTGGTTGGGAATACCTGCTAATACAGAACCCTAATCTAGGCTAAAACTGAATGTTATGTATCGTGAGCAAAACAAAGAAAAATGCTCATTTTAAATTTGCATTAGTCTGGAAGAGTATAATATTGAAAACAATCCACTCAAGCCATTTTTGGAAATTTCAATACTTTTATTTTACAAGGGAAAACAGATATTCTTGTTTGTTTTGTATTCTTTTTCAGCGTTGGATTTTGGTTATCATATTTAGAAACTGGTCCTTTATAAATATAGAGCGTGGTGAATAAAAACGTGGTTTTAATGTGTTTGAGTTTTGTTGTTTTTAACCATCGAACTCGTTTTGTGGTCAGCGCCGGCTTCCGTAGCCACAGCGGCGGAAGAATGGCGGCCTGGATGTTGTACCGCTGTGTTGTTGGGCCTCATCTGCAACGAATCCACCGATCACAGGAACAGGCTCGACCCGACGGCAGGTTTTCCAGGAGGGTAGGAAACGATGCGTTCGGACTGGTTTGACAACCGCTGACTGCAGACCGAGACTTTTATTCATTTAAATAGTTTCTGCTGCTGCTGCTGCTGCCATTGCTCCGCATAGCTCGGGATGATAGCTGGGGATGAATGAACGAACGGAGAGTGACCGGTGGACTTTTATTTTATTTTAAACTGGTTTTCTGTTTCAGCACCATAGTAACATCCGGTCCAACTGGATTTTGTGACTGTATTTTGATGTTATTTTTATGGCGCTAATCTGGCTAGCTAACGTTAGAACGATTGAAACCGCGGAGAAGAACAAACGACTTAAACGCAGAAAGAAATTAACCGACGAGTAGCACCGTCGTCAGCTGAATTTGAGTCCACGTAAAATGCATGCGTGAGGATAAACGATATATTTTATTAGATGCGAACGTTACCAACTGTGCTAGCATTAGCCTCACTTAGCTTCTTCCTCTTCTCTCTCAGGGATGGAACTACCAACCCAGGAGTCTGGAGAAACACACAGACAGCATTCTTGGCTGGGTCAGTAGAACATCCTGCTTCATCTGCTTGGAGAAAGTATAAAATTATTAAATTAAAGTGTGATTATACTTCGTGTCCTCCAGGCTTCAGCAATATGGTCCATATCCTACTACAGCTCCCCTCTTCTCCTCTGCTATCTGTACAGAAAAGGTATGTTAAATGAATTATAGGGAAGCTTTTGTCTGAAAATAATGTCAATATAATGATATATGAAGTGACAATGCAACACTACATCAGCTCTGCTGTTACTGTTCTTATTGTTGAATTCACATAAATTGAATATTTGTCTTATTATTATGTCAGTCACACTGTTTTCAATTTCTTTACAGGCCAAAACCCTAATATGTCAATAGATAAAATGATAATTGAAAAATGTCGGGGAACTTTTCTATTTAAAGGACTCAGAGTGGAAGTACTGTGTTTCAATAGTCAGGATTTAAAATATCAAAATCTGTCTTATAATGTCAGCTGGACAATTTTTACATTTTTAGCTGTTAGCAACACCTAAACATTAGCCAAGAATCTAATAGGCAGGTCATACAGGAAATAATAATATAAACTTTTTGATGTCAAGTAATTATGATCAATTGTCAGAAGAATGTTCATCAATCATTCAGTCAATATTTCTATGTCACTTTTCATCTGGAGAAAGATTTAGCACAACAGGCTTTACAGAAACTAAACGACTGCAGGAATAGAAACAAATAACTTCTCTTTACCACCCAGTCAGCCGTGTACATTAAATACACTTGGAACCAGGAAACCAGTTGCACCTATTTGTAATGAGGGCAAAATAAAGTCATATGGTTATTAAAAGTTACTAAAATATCCTAACAGAAAATTTATAAAAGGATGTCTCAAAGATAGAAAAAGTATAAAATTATTGGATAATATTTATGTGAGTGAGCAATAATTTCCGTTTATCGCCACGGGTCGCAAGAACCAGGTATGTTTGTAATCTGATTGCCAGATACACTGACGGAAAAGAAGCTATTGTTTCATTCAGCTGATTAGTTCAAATTCACAAAACCTGATCAAGGAAATGAGAGATGGAAGGGAGAGCGTGAGGTGATAAAAATGAATAAATCCACAGCATAGATGTATGTTTGTATCAGTCTAGAAAAAACAGAAATAAATCAAGATCTAGTTCTTATAATTTTCACCAAACTTACCTCATTAGTTTAAAAGTGATCAAACTTGAAGCTTTGATGCTTTAAAAATTTTTGAATTAATAAACCGTAGATGTTTGGGGGGTTTTCTTTGCTTTAAAATGTGGTTTTCATCAAACTAATGAAGTAAAAATAATTATGAAATAAATGATTGGGCAGGTTGGGTTTAATGGAGTGAATGAAAGCATTCATAAAATTATCTGCTCACTTTTTAATCATTTGTATTTACCAAATGAATTTCTAATCAGTGTGTTTATAATTTTTAAAATAATCAGATGATATCAGTGTCCTTGCTGTATTCTTCACTTAGTTTCTCCTTTGTGAAAACAGCCTAAGGCTGAAGGTTATTTTGCTTCCCTCTGGGTAATTGCCTGTTTGCTCCTAAATAATATTTTTAAAAAAACTGAAATATTTTACTCTCAGGCCATTTAGGTAACTGTCTGAAAATGTTTTCTTTCTGAATACAAATTCTCCTCTTGGGACTAAAAACTATTAATGGATGTGTCCTTGTAAATGGCTGATGTCCTGCAAGTGGAATTAATACAAATGTAATCAACTAACTCATTCGGCGAGGCTGAGCATCGCTAGAAATTAATTGCTCAAGGTTGTGTGTCACGCCTTAATGTACTATTGAGCTTCTAAAATTGATTTATGCACATGTCTGAAGGCTAGTTGTCAGATTGTTCCTCTTTTTATTGGTGCTCGGTGTTTAGCCTCCTGTTCTGTTGCTCGATCTCAGGCTACATCTGCAGCAGTAAGCTGGTACCAGTGAGTCAGTACCTGGGAACCGTGCTCGTGTGTCTTCTAGGAGTTGCTTGTATTCGAGGTGAGACCCCAGACTTCTCTTTTAACCTCCTGCAAGGCAATAACTAATTCAGTCCATTCATCTTTAGATATAGATAGCGGTTCTGCTCGCCATTAAGGTTTCATTACCATTGAGACTGTTGAACAAGGTTTCTGCTCACAAAGCATACTAAGCACACCCTTGAGGTTACTGCAACTGTTTTTTTGTTGTTGTTGTTGTTTCACATAGAGACTTTATCTCTCTTTTCCTCACCCCCACCCTCCCTGCTTTTTCCAAAGGATGGGGCAGATGGAGAAACGCGGACTATGTTCAGTTTATCTCAGTTCTGGAGGAAGCCAAGAAAAATCACACACCAGCAAACAAGGTAAGATTTCACTGTCTTGAGGCCGGGGGTCAGAGGAAAATGTTTAAAATTACAGGAATAAATCATGTTACTGTTTTATGATTTTCTGTTATGGGGAAGTTATGATACCATTTTATGTATTTTCTATTTTGTTTCTAGAAAATGCTGAGGTGTTTTAACTTCGACTTCTCACACTGGCCTGCAGATTTCAGCTGGACAGAAGTCAGCAGTCCGTAAGTTGCTCATTTCCATTTAAAATGGCCGCTTATTCAATGCATTTTTGCTCATATTAGGATCATATTGTATATTTCTATGACTGCAACTTAGGTAAAGTAGCACTTGGTAAACATATCTAATAGATAAAACGCTGTAATCATTGTCATTTTTTGCATTTTGTGGCAAAAATATGTATTTTATTAGTGTTTAACCTGATAGAACAATATCAAGGAGTGCATAACAATAACATATATTTGTAGTTTTTGAAATTTTTGAAATATAAAATTCAGAAAAGAGACTTACAAAAAAACAAAAAAAAAAACTGCAAACTTGCCAAGTCTGTACAAGTAGAAAAGTTCAGAGAGTGTTGATGTTTTTTTCCACTATGTTTATCTGCATTGT